AAAAAAAAAAAAAACCGAAAACTCCGAAACAAAACTATGTTATGCAGAAAAATAAACTGAACAACTTTTGCCTCAGGCTTACATCGAAAATTTTCACAAAATTTAAAATAAAAAATAAATTAAAAACTAGTTTTTTGTTTTTGTTTTCAGGGGCCCGGCCGGGCAAGTTGTCCCGGGCCACTATGGTAGCCTAGGTACGAAATCTGCTAATTAATCTGGTTCTATGGGCCATGCCTTTCTTGATTCCAGCATACGACTGAAGATAAGCCGGCCTTTCTGGTCTGGGATAGCCCAACAGAGTAGCCCTTTTTCCAGATACTTTGAAAATTTTCTTTCTTCTTTTTTCTTTTCATCCCCTATGATCTTGGACTGTGAGATTTTCGTCCAATCTGCTTGGATAGCTTCCATCAGGGCCGTGGTCCCACTAGCAAAGGAGATAGGATAGAAATCCTGAATCGGGCTATGTTTTATGCAGAGATAACAGAAAACCAGTTCTATCTCCATTTCCTGCTCCCGTCCCCACCCGCGTCCAAATTCAGGCATCAATCCGATGCTCTTTGCTAATGGGACCACAGCCCAGGCCCCTCATCATGTTTCTTTGGATCCTGTCGCTGGCCGCTGCTCGCTGCTCGCCGGCGGGGGGAGGCGGGGGGGGTGGTGTAAATAGCCAGCACCTCTTCAACACGAGGTTGCCGTGCTACAAGGCCATGCATAGACTGTGGCCAGTGTGTTATGAGGGTGATATATGCACGCGCATGGCCAGCAGCTGCTTGGGTTCAAACCCCAACAGCTGCGTGCATCCCGGATCTTGATTAATATAATCCGGGAGCGGGGTGGAGCAGCGGGCAGCGTGGGCGCGTGGCGCGCGTGTGCGGAGGCCTTGGCCTTGGTGCGTGCACGCGGTCGTCCTCGTACTTGCTTTTCCGCCACGTGTCACCTCCTGCTCCACCTGCTTTTTCCTGTCCGTTTGGCTGAAAAAGCTCGTCCTAGTACTTGCTTTTCCGCTACGTGTCACCTCCTGCTGCGCCTGCTTTTTCCCGTCCGTTTGGCTGAAAAAGCCTTGAAAACAGCCCGAAAAACCCTGTTGTCGGGTTGGGCTGTTTTCGCTACTGTGCGGGGTGGTGGGTGGGAGCGGGGACCATTCCCGCTCCGATACCAATGTAGCGGACCCACCAGGTGTGGTACTCCGCTAGTGATAGAGATGGAGATGGAGGAAGAAGGGGGGAGCAAGATGCACAGCGCAGCTTCCCACGCAAGACTCCAACGCACGTACTCCAAAATGTGCGAGTGTAGAATGAGGACGGAAACAGACAATTGGTGGGGTATACCCCAGCGGACTGACGGGACTGGACTGGACTGGCTGGTACCGACAGAGGTACCGGCCTGGACTGGACTGGACTGCCCCGAATAGAACACAGGCCTGTGAGAACAGGCCAAGGGGCTGGTCTCACAGGCCAACCAACCAGAGGTCCGCTACACATAGGCCCGTTGGCCATACACCGGGCCTCGTTCCACAACCCACCACGTGGACAGAAGACAAAAAATGGGGGTGCAACCTTTGTTTTTGGGAAAAGTTATAAAACCTTCCCCCGGCGAGAGCTTTGGATTCATTTCGGAATCCCCCCAAATGGAGCAAGAATTGCCACAGGTCGCGAAATGACCTTTGGTAGAGCCTGGATGCGCAGAGGCATCTCCAGAGTGGGGGACCTGTGGGCGGAGCTCCAAGGTACCTGGAAATCGTTGGAAGAGCTTCTCCCTTCCTTACAAGGGCTGTGGCACTCAGAGATCCACTGGCAACAGCTGCTGCGAGCCATCCCCGCCCGCTGGAAGCAACTGCTGAGCCCAGAAGGGCTGGACCCGGTTGGCACTTGGTACGCTCCCGCTCCGGACGAGGAAGGACCCAGAGGATTTGAGCTGTGGGAGGTTCAGCAGTTGACAGTCAGTGGGTTCCGCGAAGTCCAAAAGTGGACAGCGGTCGATCAGACTGGGATACGGGTCCCAAGTGGTGAAGAGACAATAAGACAATGGACAAATCCCCCTCAGGTAAGAGTTATCCAGCGTCGGAGCCGGAGAGGAGTGTTACTATCCACGAGGTAGGTAGGGAGGGTACCGCTGCAGGAACTGAGTATAGACCCGACAACATGGCAATGGAGAGGAGGCGTAGTCTCAAGAGCCAGTCCCCGGGGGATGGACCTATCAAATGTCTCAGTAAGTGAGTCGTATAGGTTGGCAGTCCACAGAGGGAGAAATCCTGCAGAGGTGGCAGTGACCAGATGGAGCGCAGTGTTGTTGGAGGACCTCCAGGGAAAGGAGGGAGAGTTTCTCAACCTGTGGAATGTCTTACTTACGTTACCCGATCTCAATCAGGTTAGTCTGCTGTGGATGCTGTCGATGTTGGTTACCCCCTCGGCTGTATGGTTATGTAGCAGAGGTATGGAAGTACAGATGACCTGCCCCCGTTGTTCTTCGCCTTTTGAGTCCACTAAACACCTATGGTGGGACTGTCCGGCGTCGAGAAGGGTGTGGAGATGGTGGGAGGACCATTGGAAAAGAATGGGAGGAGAAGGGATTGAATGGGATGAAAGGTGGGTGTTGCTGGGTTTTGACGGAAAAGCGCAGTCTGGGAAAGGGCTGGCCATATGTGGCACTTGCAGTCCGAGCAGTGATCTGCTCAGTGATTTGGGCGGATAGGAACAGGGCCAGGTTTGAGGGCCGCCCATTTTCGGATCTGGAAACTAAGGCAGGTATCAAAAGGGGATTGAGGAGGGCAATTTGGGCAGACTGGCGTAGTAAAGCCAGGTCCGGCAAGGGCGCAAGGAGGCACCTTTGGTGGTTTCTGAGGTCTTGGGCAAAAGGAAACCAGTTAGCAGGAGTTCACACCACACGAGGATTGGTGATCTCGAGGTGGTTTAGTTAATTGATAGGGGAACCAGGGCACTCGGTTCCGGTCGACGGCTGCAGTAGGCTGTAATGGTAGGTAGGGTAGGGAGAGTGTCCAGGGAATAGGAGGGAACTAGGTTCCCCTCGGCTGAAGTTGGGCCGAGTTCAGACCGTCGTAGGTCTGTGTATAGGATAGGTTACTAGCGGTAGAGGTTAGACAAAGTAGGTTTATCTGAGGTTTGGAAGTTAAGCACATTTGTAACGCTGTGTTCGCTTTTAAGGCTAGGAGCAAGAGTGTTGTTGAGATGAGACAATAGTAGGATGAACAGGTGAACGATTTCCAGCCTCAGGCTGTAAGCTAAACCGGCTGATGCTGCAGGGATAACTCCGGGTTGAAATTGTGAGGTCCCCGGCCTCGCTCAGTTTTATTTGAATGAAAAAAAAAAAAAAACAGACCTTTGGCGTCATTATTGCMCCCTGTAAACACTTTCCCGCCATTTTTCGACAGCGTGGGTTACAATATGACAGGAAAAGTCATTGTGGGGCCTGCGACACCTTTTGCCCCATTCCGGGGGATGGAATAGGTTTCGCCACGGGGAGGTTTTATAACTTTCCCCTTCTTTTTTTTTTTTGTGTGTGTGTGTGGGTTGGGGGGGGGGGGGTGATATTGGGTGTATCTTTCAATGTTCTAGCGGAAGATTCATTCAAATTTGCAAAATTTGGGGAGTATGGTGGAGAGAGGCCCACTGATACATTGATATTCGCCATCTCAAGAGCCAGTAGGGGCCTCGCCAGTGTCGCCACACCACTCTCGAAATGAGAAAAAGACAAAAATGATGAGGGTGCATCTGGCCATGTTCTAGCGGAAAGTTCTTTCTCATTTCGCACATTTCGAAAGTGGTGTGGCGAGGCCCTGATGTGAAGTTCTGTCGGTGCAACTCAGGGCAGCCCCTTGAGATGTCATTATTCAGATATTGGGCCTCTCTGCACTACTCTCCACATGCACAAAAGACAAAAAATAGGGCCGTGTATCTTTCCATGTTCTAGCGGACGGTTCATTCTCATTTTGTGCATTTGGAGAGTAGTGCAGCGACGCCCATTAAACTGATCAGAACAGATACTACACTTGAGCCTTTTTTTTTGTCTTTTTTGTCTTTTTTTTCTTTTTTTCTACACTTGGACTTAGCCAAAAGGCCGAGTCATCTTTTTTTTTTTTGACCCGAGTCATCATTCGACTGACCGGTCCCAGCTAAGTCAAAGAGTTAATTTATGAAAAAACAAAGAGTTCATTTATTATGTTCATCTGACGACTTCATGATTTCATCTGACTGCGGGCATGGCCGCACCACTCTTGAAATGTGCAAAAGGAGAATGAACTTCCCGCTAGAACATGGCCAGATGCATCCTCCACATTTTTGTCTTTTTCACATTTCGAGAGCGGTGTGGCGATGCCCAGCGTCTGGATTCGAACTTGGATCTGTATTCCAACAGTTCTTTGGCTTTGGGCCTCGCTCCACTACTCCTCTCCTTTTTTTTTTCTTTTTTTTTCTTTTTTTAATTATTATTTTCAATTTTACGGTCCACTACTCTCCAAATGTCCAAAACGGGAGCCAATCTTCTGCTAGGACATGGAAGTATACACCGCCATGATTTCTATCTTTTGTGCATGTGTCCACTGTAGTGGAGCGACGCCGTTTGCCTACTGAAATACAGGCCCCCTGGTCAACTGTCGGATTTTTTTATTTTTTTATTTTTTTATTTTTTTTCCCGCCTGCAAAGGTTTCGAAAGCGCACAATGTAAAAAAAAAAAAAAAAAAAAAAAGCGCACAATGTCATGTCGAACGATCAGATGCCACCTGCTAATCTTTCCATCAGGACTATTCTACTCTGATCTGATCTTGCAGACACAAGTTGGTCTAGGCAGGCTGTCAGTCTGAGACCGACTGTCACCGAGCGGGGAAAGAACACCCACGTGAGAGTGACGTGACACTGTCGTGACACTGTCACAACGGACCTCTTTCGACGAGCTACTGCCAGGGGCTGTGAGTCTGCCGCCATCGCTGAAAGCAATGGTAGCTATGGCGTCTTCAGAATCCTCGGGCCTTCCGCCTCGATCTCCGTCCTCAGCCTCTTGTTGTCCGCGACCTACGGGATGGACCTTTGGCGGCTATCTTCCCGAACCAACTCTGCTCGTGGTACTGCTACTCTTCTTCTTCGCATCCTGGTCTCTGCTGCTGCGCTGTCCTACTCCTCGTCTCACCGCGTTAAACAGATCGAGCTTCCCCCTCTCCATTCTCGCTGTGAATGGACAGAGAAGCCCTGCTGAGACGACAGCAGAAGAGGAGATCTCCCTCTCCTCCTCCTCCTCCTCCTCCTCCTCCTCCTCTTCTTCTTCTTCTTCTTCTTCTTCTTCTTCTTCTTCTTCTTCTTCCTCTTCTTCTTCTTCTTCTTCTTCTGCTGCTGCTGCTGCTGCAGCTGCTGTTGTGTGCAATAGGAGTCGCTACCCGTCTGAGGCAGAGCTAAGCGACGACCAGTTGACGATACTTGTCCCCGGTTTCAGTATAGAACGGATTGCTGTGCTTCGAAACAACACGCGGAGAATGTCGAGCTATCCTTTCGTGAGAGCCATCTATGTGCTGTGGCAGAATATGGACATCCCGGTGTCTAGGTTCGATGAACCGAACGAAAGGTTCGACAGCGATGGAGCTCCGATCCGTGTCCTAGGTCAGCGGTCAAACAGCCTGAACAACAGGTTTCTTCCACGAACTTTCATCGAGACTTCAGTGGTTGTCATCATGGATGATGACATGCTGGCGGACAAATCGAGTATGGAGTTCGCGCTCAAGGTTTGGCGGGAAAACTCGCAGCGAATCGTCGGATACTTCCCGCGCGCTCATCTGTACCATCCCGAGAACGGCTCTTGGACGTACTCGCTGAAGGAGCTGAGACAAAAGGGCGAGCGCAAAAAGTACTCCATGGTCTTGACGAAGACGATGCTGTTAAGGACCGAGTACTTGTTCGATTACACGTGTCACATGCCGAGCGGTGTGAGGAAGATGATTGACGAAACTATGAATTGCGAGGACATTGCGATGAACTTCATGGTCGCGAATTACAGCAACACGGCGCCTTTGGCCGTCGTCGGGAGACTCAAGGATGCGGGTGTTCGATGGACCAAAGACCAGCGGACCTATAGAGTAGGGCTATCATTGCGAGCGGATCACTTTGATTCCCGTAGCCGTTGCCTGAACGAGCTCGCTAAGCTATGGGGCGGCATGCCTCTGCGATACACCTATAGCAAAGCTGTGCCAGCTTAGCACATGTGGGGCAAACCCCAAAAAAAACAAAAGAGGAGAGAGAGAGAGAGAGAGAGAGAGAGAGAGAGAGAGAGAGAGAGAG